AATCACGTGATCTTCGCCCCGCGATAATCATTACCTTCTGACGTGGACGTCCATAGGCCTTCAGCCATCTCGTCATTTGTCAAGGAGAGAATCCTTCTTGTTACTTGTAACAATAGCATTGTAGAAGCCTCTATGAGTAAAGGCTAAGCTTAGCTATTATAACGTAATCTTAGCCGCTAGTCTAACATTAGCTCTTATCTAGCGTAAAGTTAATTAAAGTCTTCTTCCCTAGCTAATAATTTATTAGAGTTTTCTCCCCCGGTTAACGATTTATTATAGTTTTCTTGTTCGGCTAATAGTTAATTAGAGTTTTCTTTCTAGTAAGTGTAACTCCGCGGTTGACGTCTGTCCTCTTCAAGTATCGCTAGCTCTGTTCCTAAGGATCAGGGACTCGGCTTTACTAGCAACATATTCACATCTTAGTAGTTATATCAGCTGCTTGGACAATATTATTATTTCTTAATTCGAGGTTGTTAATACAGCGTGGTATTTTTCAACTCCTGGACATGCACACATGATGCTATCGGTCATGCAAACCTCCGTCATGTTGGTTCCCTTTCTTAACTACAACCTACTACTTTCATTTCTATTCCTTTTGCACGGCTTCGCAGAGGTTTGTGAAGGTGGATTAGCGGCCTCGACTAGAAATCTCACACTCGTTACGGCGTGGTATCCTCACCCTGGTTACAATCCCAAGTATCCTGATGAACAATATTATCGCAGTCGAGTCGTAGAGTTTCTAGCCCGAATCCACACCCCGCTTGTTGTATTCACTCCCTCCTCGGAAAACGACTTCCTCCAGAGTGCCAGGCCATCTGATGCTCCAATGCTATTGAACAACAGCTTTGAATCGATCTGGGATGTACCGTACCTTACCGGGCTCACCCACTCATTTCATACTAATCAAGTGAAACTGGCGGTCCAACAAATGCCAGGAGACTTCTTTGAAACTCCTCATATGTGGGGTGTCTGGAACGCCAAAGTATTCTTCCTTGATGAGGCAGCAAAAGAAAATCCGTTCCGCTCGAATTATTTTTTCTGGCATGATGCGGCCGGGCTGCTACCGCGGAAAGGCAATTTGATTTCCTGGCCAGACATCACGAGGATCCGTGAAGCTCTCTCAACCGGCATTGGGCATCCGGAAAAATTACTCATGGTTGCTCGTGAGCTTAAACCACTGCGGCCCGTTGATGCTTCAAGGGAACTTGCCCCCTTGACACGAACAATTTCAGGTGCGTTTAGCTTTCATGGATGTTTATCACTGCTAATTAATTTTATAGCACATTTCTTTGGCGGGACTAAAGGGTCTATTAAGTGGTTTTCTCAAGCGTATTATGAGATGCTCGCATATTACCATTCAATTGACCAGTTTGTTGGGTGTGAGGAACGCATAATGTTGAGTATTGCGTTACTCCACCCCAACCGCATAGCATGTGTTCCATCTTTTCGTTGCTATGATCCAACACAAGTACGCCTCGATCATATGTATTATTATTTTCTTTGGCTATCAGGGCAGGAAACAAGGTTAACAAAGGGGCCGATCCGTCCGGTAATGTTTTCTGATGTACCAGAAGCAAATATGTTCTCTTATGACTATTGGGCTAGATGCGATTCTGAAGTATGTTTTTGATCATGCTCTATGATAGATAGGTTATGGTACACCATCCCTTAGCTATGTAAATCAATAGCATTTACTATAACGTATTCTACTACCAAGCTAGTTAGCAAAAATCATACTAAAATATCCAAACCCATAGAGATATTATTATATGGCTAGTATTTTTATAGTTCTTTATAACGTAGTTTATAAGCGAGTGAGCCATACAAGCGAGTGAGCCACCCCACCAACTTTGCGCACATCTATAAGCGTATAGCTCCACCACATTAT